TTTATTTTTTTAAACTCGCGACAGATTTTATTGCAGAGCCACTGACCTACATTTTTTATTTACCTCTAACTAGTAAGAAATTCCCCAAAATATGGAAAACAAGATTGGAAAACTTCACAGAGAAAATAAATAAAATACAAAAACCAAATAAATAATAATAATGAAAATTGACGAGACAAACATAAACAAAAAATAAATAAATAAACAAACAACATTGACAGGAATGAAAGTCGTTATGAGCATACCATATAAGTAAATAGGAAAAACAGTATAACCTGTAAAAGAGACAAAATCACTCATGCACACTGTTCAACTTGATCAATAAAAGGGAAGACAACAGCTGCTCACATCCAGGCTACCACCTAAGCGGCTGAAGAACCCGCGCACAGAAAGAAGTATGGTCAGAACATAAAATTTGGTATTTAATTACGCACAGGTTTGCCCTGACTCAGGAGGGGGGGCGGGCGGGCGGCTGGACAGGCACCAGAGGACAGGATCAGTATCAGCAGGCGAAGGTGTACTACTACAATACCTCGTCAGGTGAGAGTTTCTCAAAATATTGAAGCAGAGGTCTCCAGTGAGTGTAAAACCTATCAGAGCACCCTCTAAGAGAGAATTTAATTTTCTCCAACTTAAGGAGAAATAAGACATTGTGCAGCCATGCTTTGAAGGAGGGAGGTTGTGAAGAAGGATTTTCCTGTGGGCAATTAAAGAGGCAAAAGCAATAACATTGTCCTGAGTGGTCGAGGTGGCAAGATCGTCAGGAGACCTACCGAAAATAGCTATATGTGGGGATGGATTGATGTTTATACCTAAAATGTCGGAGATGGACTTAAAGAAGGACTGCCAATAATTAACTAATTTAGAACAGGACCAAAACATGTGAGTCAGGTTGCAAGGAGCCTGAGAGCATCTACCACAAGTTTCATCAATTGTATCCGGAAATATTCTGGAGAGTTTATATTTGCTGTAATGAAGTCTGTGGAGCACTCTAAACTGGATAAGAGACAGCCTAGCGCAGCTAGAAGAAGAATTAACAGCCCCAAGCGCCTTTTCCCAGAAATCCTCAGAAAGGTTGGTTTGTAATTCGCTTTCCCAATCAGCCTTGATCTTTTTTACCGTGGACTCGTCAGTTGTGAACAGGAGGTCATAGAGGAAGGAAACCTGACCTTTGGGCAAGATTCTTGCGTTGAGTGCCAAATCAATGCCACTGGGGTTTGGAACATGAGGAAATGCCGGTGAGTGGGTCCTAGCAAAATCACGGAGCTGAAAATATCGAAAAAAGTCTGAGCCATTTAAATGGAATGCAGAATGTAAGAAACTGGCAAAAACATCATTAACGTATAAGTCACCCAGACAGCGCAGGCCATTCCTCTCCAAAGATGCAAATCGTGGGTCAATCCTAGCTGGTGTAAAAAGGTGATTATTACAGATGGGCGTCGCTTTAGGGAGGGAGAGCCACCCAAAGTGTCGTCTAATTTGTGACCATATTTTAAGTGTGCCTATTACCACAGTATTAGACGTGAAGCTAGAGGGAGAGAGGGGAAGGGTGCCACACACCAGATATGGGAGAGAAGAGGAGCAGGAGTCAGCCTCTAATCGGCACCAGCTGCACTGGGGTGAGATAAACCAAAGTATAATTTTGTGAACATTAGCTGCCCAATAGTAGCTGATAAAATTAGGTAGCCCAAACCCACCCACTGACCTGCTCCTCTGGAGTAAGATTTTACCCGTTCTCGCACGCTTACCAGCCCAAATAAAAGAAGAAATAATGTCATTAATAGATTTAAAATAGGACTTAGGGAGAAATATGGGGAGACATCGAAATAAATACAAATATCTGGGTAGCACGTTCATTTTTACAGTCTGTACCCTTCCCGCCAGAGATAGTGGCAAACAATTCCACCTCTGTAGATCTGATTTGACTGCAGCAGTTAAAGCAGTGAAACATTTTTCACGGAGTGTACGAATGGTACGCGTGATCATCACACCTAGGTGCTTTATTCCTATATTTTAAATGGTATGGACGACGGTGACATTTCTGCAGCCAGTTGATTAATCGGAAGACATTCACTTTTCAAAATGTTTAATTTATATCCAGAAATAACGCCAAAAGTGTTCAGGAGCGAAAGGATAGGCGGAATACTTGTCAGGGGGTCACACACATAAAGGAGGAGATCGTCAGCATAAAGTGAGATGCGATGTTCAACCCCCACCTTTTGATCCCCCCGAACCCTCCAACCGACTTTAAAGCAACTGATAACGGCTCAATGGCAAATGCGAACAACAGCGGAGAGAGCGGACAGCCTTGCCTAGTGCCGCGGAAAAGAGGAAAAGGTCTTGAACGCAGTGTGTTTGTACACACAGATGCGTAAGGGGAGGAGTAGAGTAGCTTAATCCAGGAGATGAAGCTGGCACTAAAACCAAACCGTTGCAAGGTGCAAAAGAGATAAGCCCACTCCACCCTATCGAAGGCCTTCTCGGCATCGAGAGATATTACAGCCTCAGGCTCAGTAGAAGAGGACGGGGTGTGAATGATGTCGAGAAGCCTTCTGACATTAGAAAAAGAGTGTCTCCCCTTTATGAATCCTGTCTGATCTTCTGAGATTACTGTGGGCATAGTAGCCTCCAGGCGACGGGTTAGGACCTTAGCTAGAATTTTAACGTCAACAGAAAGGAGTGAAATTGGGCGATAGGACGCACAGCTTGCTGTGTCCTTGTCTTTCTTGTGAATGAGAGATACAGAAGTTTGCATGAGCGTGGGTGGCAAGGTGCCCTGGTGGAATGATTGATTAAACATTCTGAGTAGGAGTGGAGCAAGCAGGTCAGAAAACCGTTTAAAAAACTCCACAGGATACCCGTCGGGGCCTGGTGATTTGCCACTGCGCATTGAGCAAATGGCCTCTTTGATTTCAGAAAGTGTTAAAGGGGCATCTAATGTCTGACTATCATTAGGCGAAACTTTTGGTAAAATTAATTTATCAAAGAAATTACGTAACTGACTTTCATCGTTAGGGGACTCGGAGGTATACAGCTTAGAATAAAATGACCTAAATATGTCGTTTATCTCATCTGGGTCAGAGGTTAGAGAACCTGACTCGTCTCGTGCCTGGGTGATCTGGTTGGAAGCCAATCTGGCCTTTAGTTGGTGGGCCAGAAGGCGACCCGCCTTGTCACCATGTTCGTACATAGACCCATGAGAGCGGAGGAGGAGACGTTCAGCTTCTGTAGTAAGAAGAAGGTCAAGTTCCGTTTGGAGCCCTAGCCTTTCTTTGTACAAGTCAGGTGATTGGGAAGTCGACAGTAAAACATCAAGGTTAGCTATAGTTTTTTCTAATTCCCTCTGGCAAGCCCTGCGCAGCTTGTTCGCATGAGATGTGTACGAGATAATTCTGCCTCAAATGAAAGCCTTCATGGCGAATAAAACAAACATCACAAAAATGATAGGCTAACAAAGAGGTCCCCCTCCCTACACACCCGTAGAGCTGGCACTTACTTCCAGCTTCAACTCTCCCTCCCCAAATAACCTCCTCATAGAAAGAACGATCCTCCCATCCCTCCCAACCCACTTTACCCATGTCCCTTAACAAATCCTTATCAACCAAAACAAAAGATGTGTACTTCCCTTTCTGTGTCCTCACTCCTTCAGGAATCATCTCAGATCCCATAACTCGTAAAAGAGAAAAATCTGATATGTAACCCTCTGAATACAATATGAAATATTGGCCCAACACCGTACAAAAAATAAACAATCTGCAAGTATCAAATTGAGGTCTTAAGATAGTCTGAGCTATACTGCATTGAATAGAAAAATACAGGAAGAAAAAATAAAATAAAAATAAAAACTGGCTTCAGACTGCAGAATGATAGACTTATTCAGCACCAAGTGTGAATGAGATATAAGGCCTCATTTATAGATACAATTTGTAGACATTGCAGCCACAGAAACATTGTGAACTTTAGCACCTCAGAACCATGGACACCTCAGATAAAGTGCCAGCCTATGAGCATCAATGATATAGACTTCTACAATATAGACGAAAAAGGTGGAGAGATAAAAAAAAGACAACAATTAAACATAAAGTGTCCGAGTAAACAACAAACTCAGATTAGAACAACATATCGTCTCTCATCACGGCACTTTAAGTGTACACGATGATGGTATGGCTAGCCAGTTAGCCTCCAGGCAAACAGTAAAGTGTAAGATTGGGCTTTTATTTCAGACATAAATCTTGTTTTTCTTTTGTTTCTAAAAAGAGGCTTATTGCTGCTACTTTTATTCCATTATTAGATTATGGTGATGTACTGTACTTGACTGCCTGCTCTACCTCACTGCACATGCTGGATGCTACTTATCATTGTGCGTTAAGCTTCATTACCGGCTGTAAATCACTCACCCATCATTGCACCCTGTACTCTAAAGTAGGCTGGCTGTCCCTGTCAGCTCGTAGGCTTCTTCACTGGTACACCTTCATTTATAAAGCAATTACTGGACTACTCCCTTCATACCTCTGCATCTACCTCACTTTTAAATCAAATCCATCATACAGTTTGCGCTCTCTGGACTTTCTATCTACGTCAGTCTCCAGAACTCGTACTGAGTTTGGGAAGAGGGCCTTCATGTACTCTGCTCCCTCTGCATGGAACAGTCTTCAAAAAACACTCAAATTGCAGGAACTCATCACTATTAATGATTTTAAAACTCGGCTCACGAGTTTTTTAAAGGCTAATTTTGGAGTGTGTAAATGTTTCACTGCATAGTATTTTATCATCATCATATAATTGTTCTTTTAGTGTGTATTGTGGTGTTGTGCTTTGTTTTTGTTTAACATGATCTTGTCCTCCTTCTCCTCCTCCTCCTCCTCCTCCTTTTTCTTCTTCACCTTCTGGACTGTATTTGTCTCTTTTTCTCATGTCTGTGCTTTCTTTTTGGGTTTGTCTTACACCCCTGAATAAGGGGAGAAATAATCACGAGAGTGATTCAGTTGTGTTTCCTCATCAAGAGCATTTAGTGTAATCAATTACATGTTTACAGAAATATAACAATGTACAAAAGTACACATTTACAACAGCTTTCACATTTCAGAATGAATAGAGGTGGAGGTAGGATATACACCTTTTCCTTTTACAAACAATAACAAACAGTATTTTCCTGCATTAAATCTTTTCCTCACATTTCTTTTAAGCATCAAATATCTAAGTCTTAAACTCATATTTAGCTAATAAAAGTGCATGAGTCCAACTACATAAGACAATGAAAAAAATTAAACACATCCTCACTCCTGTGAAACAGAAGACTACACACAGAATACGCTGCGGCACAGCTACGGGTTGTGCAGTGGCTCCGAGCACGGGCTCGTATGCTAGCAAACTTACTGTTCTGAAACTTAACTTTAAACTTACTCAAACATCGAAATTACTTAGTCATGAAACTCTTCACTTGTTAGTAAGTTATTTTGGACATGTTAGCTGTGTTTATGACCATAAACATACCTGAATAAGGAGAGAAATAATCACGAGAGTGATTCAGTTGTGTTTCCTCATAAACAGCGTTTAGTGTAATGAGGAAAACACCACGATTTCTCCTGGTATGTGGGTGGAGACAAAACAACAATCGCTCCCAGATGGGCTAACGCAGACAAGTCAGTAGATCACAGATACGCATCAACAAATCTTACTTTTAACAATAAAGAATGAACTAAATCGTGTCTATTAAACATTCTTTTAGCATCGTTAACCTTTTCTTTTAACATAAAACTGATATTTAAGCATTTTAACTTATTTATACTTTTTAATCACTCTCTATATAACTTCTTGTGACTATGCAATGTTTTTATCCACAATCAATTATTTAACCCTGTAACAGATCATGAACTCTGTGTTTTATTCTTAACTGTAAGTGCATTACTTTTTAACGTGTCACATAAGCTACTAGCCAATTACAGAATAGAGCGGGTCATGCCTTTACCATCCTAGGGAAAAAAATGGCAACATACCACTAAATGATGTGCAACAGAGGGAGTTTAAGAGAGGGTATTACTCAATGGAGACTGAAATCAATATTCTTGAATTTATCTTTATTTGAATTGACTGGACCTAAATGTTTGTTTACTGCTACATGTTTTAATCTTATTCACAGACTTGTCTTATTTACAAATTTGCCTAATTCAAATATTCCCAATCAGATCATTGTGTTTTGTTTACCTTCAGCACATGTGCATTCATCATTTCAGCAGAGCTGTCCAGCTCTCCTCTCTGGGTGGTAAAACTTCACACAACTTGTTTCTGCAGCCAGAGAGACACATTTTTTAGAACATACATTAAATGGCAATTGCATTACATTATAATATGTACAGTAAATACTTGTGGAAATGGCAGACTAAGCAGAGTCCTTGCTATGATGAAAGTTTTCGTTTCAGGTTAGGGGTAGCTTTTTGTTTTATGTATATGTGTAGGCAGTGCTGTCTCGTAACACTTACGGTCGTAGTATTCATAGACAGACACAGCAGCTGGTTGCATGACTCCAACTTTCAACTTCTGATGAACCCTAAATGAGATCTCTTCTGGCCGAGTGTGAGAAACCTGTGGGGAGATGCAGAAGGCAGATGAGATCACTAAGAAGAAAGAAAAAAAGACGAAATAGGACTCAATGCCACAATGATCTCTTACCTTGTCCAGGTAGATGATGAGAGAGCCTCTTTCCGACAGGACTGTGTTCATCTCATATTTGGCTATGGTGCGGGCACGTCCTTTGGAAAACTACACACACAGACACACACACAGATACATGGTTATTTTTTACCTTTAAACAAGTTTGTTTCCTCTAGCCATAAACTCTGATATTCTGTTTGCTGCTTTTGTATGTGTGTATCTGTAACGGTTCTTACTAAGTCCAAGTCTTGTGTGTTTGCGGTGAAGCCAGTTAGCAAGCCAATATCCAGGATTGACATGGTCGCATCGCGCTCTGTGTCTTTGTACCTGTACAAAAAAAGAACAGAACAGGTCAAATATCAAGTGAAGGAAGACAGAGATCAGGAAAGAAGAGCCTTTTATGCAGGAAATGGAGGACAGGATAATTTAAAAAAGCCTCGTGTTTGTACTTACAAGACCTCTATTATCAGCCTGTATATCTTCTCATCTTCACCCATATACTCTGCAAGCAGCAAACATTTAGCAAATATGATTGTTTTTGTTTCATGCTGTAACTCAGGTAAGAGAGACAAAATAGACACAAAACAAATAACAAAGCAGTTAAAAAGTAGAGCCAAATTACCTGGGAGGAGCTGCACTGACATGTTATACTTCTGACAGTCACTCGCCTTCTCTGTTGGCAGAGCGTAGTACAGCGACACCATCTGGCACAAAGAGAAAAGAGCATCTTTGTACAGGAGAAACTAAAAGGCATCCATTTAAAAAAAAATACAATTCACACAAGTTACAAAGGACTTTTCTGTGATTCAATAACCAACACATACAAAAATGGTGACGTTAAATTTAACTTGGAAAACAAAGAGCCAAAAGTGACCTCCGTGTAGTAGTGGTGTGGTCTCTGAAGCAGTTACAGGCACTCTTGTGTGGGAGAGGTTACTACACGGAGGTAAGCTGCTTGTCTCAATTACAGCGCACTGTTTACCGAATATTACCTGACTCAAAGTGAGCAGGCCAGCTTCCATTCATTGTTTTCATATATTTTACTTACCTTAACTGTCGCCTCTCCTGTGCCTGTGGCGGACACAGTCACGTTCTGATTGATATCGTTGAACTGCAGGAATTCAAACATGTGCACAAACACATTTATTAGGATGAGCAGAAGAAACAAACACACAGAAAATGACAGGAATGATGAAATGAATGAGCCCCTCAGAGCTTGTGTGAGAAAGTATCCTCACTTTGGACGTTCTCGTGGCGTAGCTGTTGTCCCTGTTAAAGTTGTATTTGTCAGGCTTTGATCTGCCCGGCAACAAGATGTCCACATTCAGATCATATTCTGGTTCTTTAGCACTGGCCCAGTACTCAGATACAGCCTGGTACACCATAATGGTAGCCTGGTTAGGGGTAAAAAAGGGGGAGGGTAAAAAAGGAGGACATATTTTATGAGGATTTGGATGATTAAAAAAAGTGAGGTATCAAGATTGAGAGAAGAGTCTGTGTTACCTGAGTTGATCCATAACCTCCGCCCACCTTCTGCTGTTTGTTGAACCATCTGACAACAGGTCTGGCATCTTCAAAGGCCTTTATGAACAAAAGGAACGTGTAAGGGTGAAAAGATCGGCAGGGTGGTATTTATTTTTATTTTTGTTGCTTCTGCTGCCACATCCTTTAACATCTGGTCTTGCCTCCTAGTAAGACCCCTCCATTCCCTCATCCAACAGTGTGAAAGGGCAACTCTTTGAAACTTTCAGGAGTGCAGTTGTGAAAGAGGCTTACAATTACAATCAATTAATCATTAAAAATGCAAACGTTAAAATGAAGCATACCTTGCCCCAACTCTGTTGTGTTTTTTTTCTAAAACAATATTTATGTTATTCCCTCCTTTGTGTTGTACTTTCAGATTCAGAATTCCTGGATGGTCTTTTTTGTGTTTTTCTGTGTAGCATTACTACATGCTGGAACACTAAAAAAGTGCTCACCTTGGTCTTCACAAGAGCGAGGAGAGCGTAAGCTGTGGCCTCCAGTGTGTATATGTGTCCCTTTGCCGATGGCCAGTGGGACAACTCTGAGGAAGACACAGATACATTTTTGTGAGTCTGCTGTAACAGCAGGATGCTTGATCTTTGTCTTAGTCTTTCTAAATCTTCTAGTATCAAAAATATGAACTTACAAAAGGGATATGAAAAGATATAACAGATAAGGTACTGACATCGGAGTTAAACATCTATGTTAATGAGTCTCTGATTTTTAAATGTAAAATTCAGCATTTAGCAAGAATCTGCCCCCCAAAGCTAAGACACTAATGCGTTATTTTATTTTTACAAAATTACTAAAGTGACTTTTTATTGATTCGTGTGACAGCACCTGGGGAAGCAAAGTTGTAAAGGATCTCTTTGTTCAGTTTGTTTGAATTGGCCAGGGCGTATGATGTCATGGCAACTGCATATGGGTTGGTAAGGGTGGGCAGACGATTCTCCAGGTAGGTCAATGCTTTGTCTATGCTGTCTGGCAGACTCTGGATAGAACAAAAAAAAAAAAAAGGAAGGATGAAGGGGAATAAAGCGAAGACAGATGAAACTCAGAGATTTCAAATCAACATTAAAGAACATTTTTTTGAAAGGAAAATACACAAACAAATTGATTAAGTGTGATGAATATTGTGAGAGATTAAAAAGCTTTTGAATACAGTATAATACCATTTTCTGTAGTACTAGATGCAGTTGTAGCTACAACAAGCAATAATCCAAGGCATCAAAGATTAATTAAAGAGTAATGATAAGAAAAGGAATGTGGATGGCTTGTTTATCGTGTCAACAATATACAGTAAAATGATCAGTTATAGTTATTTAAAGAAAGAAAATCTGAAACGACAAAAAACAAGAATCAGCAGGTCAGACCTCGAAAAAATCGGGAATCAGAATTGGCCAAAAAAAATTGGAATCAGTGCACCTCTAATAGGAGTATTAATAGTTTAAAATGGGGGAGGCTTAGCAAATGGTCATGTTGGTTCAGTTCTACAGAAAGCTGTGTTCTATGAAGTAGTATAAGGGGAAAAAATCTGAGATTTCGTGATTAAAGTCATACATTTACAAGATAAAAGTCGTTATTTTAGTCTATAGTTATATCAGTAGCAGCAGCCGCCTGTATGAAAATGAGGAAAGTGGAGCATCTTGTAAAGTTGCACTTCAGTAAAAGTTTCACAAATAAGGAGATACTTCCTTGTGTAGTCTGTAACGAGACTGATTAACTCTCTGTGGAATGAGCTGCTTTAAGGTCTCTCTCTCTCTCTCTCTCTCTCTCTCTCTCTCTCTCTCTCTTTGTCTCTCTCTCTCTCTCTCTCTGCATATACAGTACATCATATTACTGCATGTATCTATCTGTAAATCTCAGTCACTAACCACCTATTTTCCTGGGAGCTCTTGAGCTGTCTTAGGCTCCTCAAGATCGTTGGTTGACGGCCTGCCTGAACAACACCCCAACACCCCCCCTTGCTCCCTATCCCCTCTTCCTGCATTTTATCCCATCTCTCCCCCTATCCCTTTCCAAGCCCGGCGCAGTCTAGGCCTGTGAAGGCTGTTTCGTCATGAGCCGGGGATCCGGCCGAAGATTTCTGCCTTTTATTAAGGCAGTTTTTTCTTACCACTGTAACTTTTGCTGCTTTGCTAAAGTGTTCATGATGGATAGGCCGGATCTTTGTAATATAGCAATAAGTAAGGTCTTTTACCTGCTTTTTGTAACATAACAATGAGTATGTTTTTTTTTACCTGCTCTTTTGTAATGTTAAAAAACAAAGAGTAAGATTTTACTTTTATTGATCCCCGTAAGGGGAAATTCTGTTTTTACATTCTGTTAATCATGCAACACACACATAGGCTGAAATATACACATGCACAATCAGGATCCTATGGACATTGCACTAATGGAGAGATGTCAGAGTGAGGGAGCTGCCCACAGCGGGCACTCCTGAGCTGGTGGTGGGGAGGGGGTTTTGGTGCCTTGCTCAAAGGCACCTCGGCAGTGCTCAGGAAGTAACTTCCATTTTTGATCCACACCGGGACTTGAACCGGCGACTCTCCGGTTCCCATTTTTTCGGCATTATCAGCTTTTTCCTCAGAGCCGCTTAGCATAGCTTCCAAGCAATATGGCGGACGGTAAGTTTAGATTCTGGGAGTGAGTTCCCACCCACTGATCTGTGATTGGTCTCTAGCTTCAGTGGTCGAAAATATGAGGAACTAGCCTTGTAGTCTCACCCCGCTAACCGCAACAGCTTCCAGTGATGCAAAAATCGTCATTTTGCGTCACTGGAAGCTCCTTTTCCGACTTAGAAAGACAAAGATTTCCCATCTCAGGGGAAAATGAGGGCAGGATGCACGACCATTAAAAAATACTACCAGGTTTCCAATGATACAAAGCCTATGCAAATGGGTGAAGTCTCCCTTTAATACTCTGTCGTAGTGTTCTGCCCATCTCTCCTGAGAAGATAGTAAATGAAGAAATAAAAGGATTCAAAGAAAAATAGAAAACAATGTATGGCTGTGCTGTACTCACATTAACAGTGTCAGAACACAGTGAACGGGACTCCTGCATGGTGATGAGGCAGAAGGCCGTCATGGAGGCGTCAGAATCCATGCCGCGCACGTCACCCTACATGTGCACACATTCACAAAAACATTTTTAATTCATGTTCAATATCAGTCAGTGACATAAATCATGATTTTTGTAATTCAGTTTTTTTAGCATCAAGATTAAATAAGGTAAGTTTGTGAATTCACGCACAATCATCTCTCCATTGGACACCCTTCCAACTTCTCTAAACATGCCGTCTGTCTGCTGTGTATTGAGAATCAGGAACTTGATAGCGTCACAGATCACGTATTTTTCCATCGCCACCAGATTGTTTGTCATGGCCAACACCTTGGCAACGTAAGCTGTCAACCTTTCGAAAGGGCGGAAGAGCAACATATTAGTCAGAAGCCGTTCAGAAAAAGTCAGAGGATGTACAAATTCATGGATGTTTGAATGCCTCACCAGGTGCTGCTTTGGCGATTGGCCCACACAGCAAAAGACCCATCAGTTTTACGGTAGGTCAGTTGTTTCTGATAGCCTACACACACACAAAAAAAAAAACTCCTTGTTCAATGGCTGCTGGTTGGAGAAGACCTAAAACATGTTTTCCTTTGTAACAGTATATCATTTTTCATGTTGCACTGATGACACAAGTTATTGTAAAGAATCCTGGTTAAAACTGTAAAAAATGGACAGTGAAATATCTGGCCTCAAGTGAAGCTAAAACATGTTAGAGGCCTTATCTATTTAATGTTCTTTCTAAAGTCGACCTGGAAGATAACTTTATTAAATGGATTTGTCTTTGATATGATTCCCCTCGAGCATCAGTTCTTACAAATGGCTGGAAGTCCCCTACATTTCAGGTTGGGCGTGGCACCCGCCAGGGGTGTCCTATCTCCCCACTTTTGTTTACTCTCGCAATAGTGAGTAGACCATTGGCAGAGGTGATACGGAGCGATCCTCTGGTGACAGGTATTGATATAGGTCCCCATAAGCACAAAATCTCTCTCTCTACGGCGACAACATTTTGTTATTCTTAAGCAACCCAGAAGTCTCCATTTCTAGAGTTATTGAGATCTCCAATAATTTCGGGAGGTTCTCAGGCTAATTAATTACGCTAAATCAGATGCTATGCCCCTAACTCTTAATACCCTTTGGACATCAGATAACTCTGCCCCTTTCCGATGGTCCCCTTCTGGGTTTGTTTATCTGGGTATATATATATTACTCCAGCCCTATCTGGTCTTTATAACTGGTCTGTAACTGCAGCCTACATCCCCCCTGATGCCGATGCAAAAGCTGCTATGAAGGAACTTTACACCGCTATCAGTAAACAACAGACTGCTCACCCGGAGGCTGCATTTATAGTTGCAGGTGATTTTAATCACTCAAACTTAAAGACAGTGCTCCCCAAATTTCACCAGCATGTTTCCTGCAATGCAAGAGGAAACAAAACTCTGGACCATGTTTACACAAACATCGCAGGAGCCTACACCACGACCCCCCTCCCCCACCTGGGACAGTCAGACCATCAACACCACCATCGACAGTGTTACAACATGGAAGCAGATCACCACGTACCCAAATCAGAAGCCATGGATGAACAAGGAGGTGCGTCTCCTGCTGAAGGCCCGCAACACCGCCTTCAGATCAGATGATGCAATGGCCTACAGCGTATCCAGGGCAAACCTGAGGAGGGGCATCATCAAGGCCAAGCACTGCTACAAGCTGAAGGTTGAGGAACACTTCTCCAACTCCGACCCCAGACGCATGTGGCAGGGCATCCAGGCCATCAGTGACTATAAACCCAGAAACTCCACCCCGATAACCACAGATGTCTCCTTCCTGAACGAGCTAAATCACTTTTATGCTCGTTTCGATAGAGACAACAGAGAGACGCAGACCACGACCAGACCTCCTGCAGACAACCAGCCCCTCTCACTCACCTCCACAGACGTCCAGGCTGCACTGAGCCGGATCAACGCTCGAAAGGCTGCTGGTCCAGACGGCACCCCCGGGCGCGTGCTTATGGCATGTGCGGAGCAGCTCACTGGGGTTTTTACGGACATCTTCAACCTGTCCCTCGCCCAAGCAGCTGTGCCAGCATGCTTCAAAGCCACCTCCATTGTCCCAGTGCCGAAACACTCCAGCCCGACAGGCCTGAACGACTACCGCCCTGTGGCACTCACACCCATCATAATGAAGTGCTTTGAGCGACTGGTCCTAGCACACCTGAAAAACTGCCTCCCACCCACACTGGACCCATTCCAGTTGCCTACCGCAGCAATAGGAGTACAGAGGATGCAGTCTCCACTGCGCTGCACTCTGTGCTCACTCATCTGGACAATAACAACACATACGCACGAATGCTGTTTGTGGATTTTAGCTCAGCATTCAACTCTGTCATCCCCTCCAAGTTAAACACTAAACTCGGAGACCTGGGCTTCAACACCTCCCTCCGTCACTGGATAATGGACTCTCTGACCAACAGACCCCAGTATGTTAGGTCAGGTCACACCTGCTCCACCACCATCACACTCAACACAGGCGTACCACAGGACTGTGTGCTGAGCCCATTCCTCTACTCCCTCTTCACCCACGACTGCAGACCTGTACATGGATCCAACACCATCATCAAGTGTGCGGACGATACAGCGGTGATTGGCCTCATCAGCAACAACGATGACACAGCCTACAGGGAGGAGGTACAGCATCTGGCCGCCTGGTGTGCTGACAACAACCTGCTCCTCAACACCAGCAAGACGAAGGAGATCATCGTGGACTTCAGGAGAGAAAGAGGAAGCACGCACAACCCCATTCACATCAACGGGATGGCTGTTGAACGTGTCTCCAGCTTCAAGTTCCTGGGGACCCACATCACAGAGGACCTCTCCTGGTCCACTAACACCTCCAGTCTGGTTAAGAAGGCTCATCAACGCCTCTTTTTCCTGAGGACACTGAAGAGACACCACCTGTCTTCAGCTGTACTGATGAACTTCTACCGCTGTGTGATCGAGAGCATCCTGACCAGCAGTGTCTCAGTCTGGTACGGAAACTGCTCTGTCGCAGACCGTAAGGTGCTACAGCGGGTGGTAAAAACCGCCCAGCGCATCACAAGGTGTCCACTTCCTGCCATTGAGGATGTCCAAAGAACACGCTGTCTGCGGCGAGCTCATGGCATCCTTAAAGACTCCTCCCACCCTGCCCACAGACTGTTTACCCTCCTGCCCTCCGGCAGGCGCTTCAGAAGCCTCCGGACCAGAACCAGCAGACTGAGGAACAGCTTTTTCCCCAGAGCTGTTTCTCTACTGAACTCTACCCCCCGAACTCTGAACTCTGTCTCTCTCTCTCTCTCTCCGCACCCTGCTGACCCCCCCCCCCCTTTCCCCTGCATATCACCTCACACCCATCATCCCCCCACCACTCCTCCTGGTCACACACACACATCTCTCATCCATCTGTATTATTGTATTATAGTATGTTCATATTATGTCCATATTCTTTATATTATCTGTAAACTAGTATAGCATGCTCACTGCATCTTAATCTGTATATTATTAGTATAGCATGCTCACTGCACCTTAATCTGTATATTATAATCCTAAGAATACACTTATTTTGTAGCATTACTTATTTATAGCATTTATTTATATTTATTGCATCCCATTAATCCAGCCATCCATATATACCTAATAATTCACTTTTTTTTGTCTACATCTGTAAATTTTGTAATTACTGTACATAGCACAGACTCTTGCACTTTCTGCTTATTTGCACTTCTGGTGAGATGCCAAACCTCATTTCGTTACTCTATGCTTGTATATGTGTAATGACAATAAAGTTGAATCTCATCTCATAAAGCCAACTTTGTGCCTTTAATCCACAGAATTAAAGACGATCTGGCGCGCTGGATTTCCCTCCCATTATTTATTTTGGGTAGAGTAAATCTTTTTAAAATGAACATACTCCCCCGGCTGCTTTATGTTTTTCAAGTGATCCCAGTTCTTTAGACCAGAAAAATCAATCTCTATTCTAAACAGCTCATTATCATCCTTTTTATGGAAAAATAAGCGAGCTAGATTAAAACTACAGAAGCTGCAGCCCGACTAGAAGAGGGTGGACTGGCTTTGCCCAATATTAGATACTACCAACTGGCTTGCCTTGGCTGGTACATCTGTGGGAATGGGTTAGAAATTACCCTACATCTACATGGCTCAATTTAGAGGCTGCCCATCTGGAAAATTCCTCTTTGTAATACTATGTATATTTAAAAAAAATGGGTTTCAGAGAAAGTAAGGGGTAATTTCCTCCTCCTGAACACTTTAAAAGTATGGAGAACTATTAGGAAGATAGAGGCTCTGGAAGACTGTCTTTCTACTCTTACCCCCATTTATCTGAATCCAGATTTTCCCCCTCGCCTTGTAGATTGTGCATTCACGTTTTGGTCACAAGGGTATTTGCACCATAGCAGATTTAGTGGCTAATGGTATTATTAAATCTTTTAACCAGCTCAAGGATCAGTTTAGCCTTACCACTACACACATTTTTAGGTATCTGCAGGTTCGGAGCTTTGTCTCCTCAAAAATAAGGTTACACCCAGGGGGTTCTCTCAATCTTCTGTAAAAAAAAAAGTGCAGCAGTATCCCACCCATCGAAAATTAATGACCAGGTTTTATAATGCTCTGTTTCCCCCAGTAGAGGGCGTGAGTCCTCTTAAATCACTTTGGGAGACTGATCTATCTCAGATGATTAATGGGGAAATGTCTGGTCTTGTTCATAGGGGTGTTTGTCCACTAACAAAGTTAAGGTAATGCAATTCAAAATTATTTATAGGCTTCAAATTACACCACTGCTACGGAATAGATTCAACCCTTCTCTTTCAAAGTATTGTAATAAATGTAAGGTTATTGAAGGGACATACTTCCATTGTATCTTCGATTGTCCTTTCATCAAAATGTTTTGGGTACATGTTTGTAAGGAAATTTCTGTAATGTTTGGTAAAAACTTAGCTCTTAAGCCTGTTTCTTGTATTCTCGGTTTATATTCTGCAATATTCTATAATAGAACTCATACCCCTGGAGGCCATGACCTACTGGCTCAAGGAGAAACCCTCTTCATTTTATAAAATATGGGACCCCTTCTTAACCTATATTGGAGTAGAGAAAGCACAGACTTTGCAAAGATGGACTATATGGACTTACCTGGACAGATATTCTAAAAGAGGCCCGTAGTCAGAGTTCTTTCTAAAACCCTTCTGCCTAGTCAGGAACTTGCATCTTTTGAATTTCTAGTCTCTGAGCTCATAAAAACATCCGTTCTGCCTACCAAACATGATGTGTTGGAGAGCTTCGTTACGTTTCTGAAAGCCCACAGTTTCCCACTGGTTGGTTTTGTCCAGGTATGTGGTGGCTATGACGGGCAGGGTCATGTGGATCATGTTCACCTCTCCACAGCCAGAGGGCTGATAGATCAGAGTCCCCATTGAGTTCCCACTAATGGCGTTTTCCACCAGTGCAGAAATTTCTTCTCTTCCTGTTTGCACACACACACACACACACACACACACATAATAATTTAATTTCACAAAAACGCAGATACAGGCACTGTATCACATGTCCAAATACAAGACTGTACCTTACCTGTCACAGAGATCTGAGAGCTAGTCGGTGCGTTTGGAACCAAATCCTTCTTAGGAATCCCACTGTTCAATATTACTTCCTGTTTGCCATCTAAAGATGAAACAGTGTTGGGTGATCAGTAATCATTTTAAGAAGGCACAGCAGTAAATAACTGCATTATGTAGCTATTTAAATGGTCAACTCACCTACACCTTTAGTTGTTGGGTCTAGAGTTACAGTCTGAGGAGATTTGACAAGTACACCTTCAGGCTGGAAAGACAATAATAAGGTCACACATTATACATCATACTGAGTATTTGTAATATACTGTAAGTGACAAAATGCAATGCTGCTCGCCTTTTCAATTATCTCTGGTGGTCTGATTCTCTTTTGTATTTACATTGTTACAATAACAGACACAGATTTTAATGATTTTAATGAGATTGGGCAGATTTTGTTTTCTTATACGTATACAACTGCAGTAAGATAACCAACCTGGTTACGGTTCTCTTACCGCCGTTTGAGAGTCAGACACTTAGATGGAACATTACTGGACCTTTAACCTGGACTTATTTATTTAAGCTGGAAACTGTGTGAGTTTGTTCAGTGTTTATATCTTTAAGTCACTGCACTTTGTATACAGCTTATTATTGTAGTCTCACTTGGTTACTTATTTTATTGCTTATTTTATTATCTCGTTTCTATTTTATTTTTACATTCTTAAATCATTTCTATATTTCCTACCGCTATATTGTGTTTAAGAGCAATGGTAACAACCAAATTTCCCCCTGGGATTAATAAACTGTTTCTGATTCTGAAAGAGACGCATGGAATGTGATGTGTTTCTTACCACGACACGTAACTTCCTCATGATTCCATCATTGAGGGACGAGTTTTTCACAGCTGCTTTGACCTCGATCCCGTACAATCCTTCCTTCATGGGAATAATGATGAAGGTTACTGATTGTGTACTCTGAGGATAAACTGTGACCTCCTGACGATACCGTCCGTGTTTGGAGGCTGAACTGCACACATTCTCCTCCTCAATCAGATCCACACGCACCTTTAAAAAAATAACAGACAAAACAGAAACAAGACAGAGGTATGAGAGGATTAGAAAAGATCAAGAATCATGTTCTCAGCAATCGTATGGAGACGGTAAATCAAAAGTTTTGCACGAGGTGATTTTGATAACAATTTGACTGAATTGTATCAGCTTGAAGTGTGATTTGATGGACGACATTGCTGATTTACATTAAGTTCAATGTAAAGCCCTTGGCCGAAAGAAACCAACAACTTGACGGGTTCTGGGTCAAAGTTGTGCTTTGCTGAACTTTTAGTTCTCATCACTCTGAGGAACATTTTGACCAACATGCTTCTTATAAAAACATCACAATCTCCTTGGCTCTGTCCTGATTAATTGGAGCTGAGTAACACAGACTTACTGTGGCAGTATCTGGGCTGTAGTTGTGGAGGATTGCTTTGACCTCCAGCTGCTCTCCTCGGACGGCAGAATAGGGCAGCCTGAGGTCAATGAAGAAATCTTTCCGTACAATTACTTCAAAAGGCTCGCCAACGCAGATTCCTTAAATATGAGGAGAGGATAAAAGACCATGATGAAAGAGAGACAAAAAGGTGGATTAGTTTTTGGTCAAAGAGGCACACATGGAAATAAAGACGAGTCACTTAATCCTCACCGTGAGTTCTGGACAGACTGATGCCGGTGAACTGCCAGGTTGTGATTGAATCTTGCAAAGGAACATTTTTCACAGATGATGTGGTGTCACTGAAAAGAGGAAACATTTTCATACTTTTAAGAGATACGAGGTCGCTTCAAAAACTTGGTGATGTTATTAATGACTTCAAGTGTGATTATTGTGTGTAGAGATGTCTGACTCACCAGTTAGGGTTTTGTCTTGGGCAAGCAGGAAGATTGATATCCAACCAAAGCCAACTCTCAGGGAACTTGGTGCGAGACACAATTTTATTGCTATCCATGTAGCTGTTGTCATCCTCCCCAGCTAAAGAGTGATTAAAGAGTTCAATGAGCGCGATGTTCAGCATGATTATGGTATAAAACACCCCAGGGTGTCCTGTCTATTGTCCCTGTCTCTTACTTCGAGCCAGTTGGAGATTTTCTTCCTTCTTTTCTGTCCGCTGGTTTTCCATCTCCCTGCAGCAGTGCAGGAAGGCATCGACACATGTTTGACTGTCCACAACGTACTCACTGCGCCTCTCACAACTGCATGAAACTGGGAAGTCCGTCAAGCCATCCCGACAACATTGGCTTTGTAGTTCGTCTTTGTATTGGCTCACTGGATAAAAAGGGGAGTAGAGTAGAGTAGAGTCATGGGTGGAAAGGTCTGGAATACATTGTTAATTTGGCAGCTATAATAGATTCAGTCATAGTCAAGATTAAAATGTTCATCAGTTTTACTCATATTTTAGTCATTTTTTACGAGGGACCGGTAGCCTGGTGGTTAGTGAGTGCGCCCCATGTAGGGAGGCCATGGACCTCTCTCTCCCTATCTCTGACTCTATCCACTGTACTGTCTGTAAATAAAAGCATAAAAATCCCCCAAAAATAAACCATTAAAATGACCCTTAAAGGTTTGAGTCCAGTGTCAGTCGACAAAAACCAAAACATTTGAGCCCAGTTTTAGTCGATAAAATTTACATTTTAAATATTGCTTTTAATCCAAACATTTTCTCTCTTTAAATTTTACAGATTTCAAAAATTGGTATCAAGGCGACAGGTCGTATTAGCTGTTTTTCTCTAAACTCGTAAAAAAACATGAAAAACCTTACACAACTCAAGCAAAAAAAGAAACGCAACTTGCAAGAGCTGTTAAACAAATGTAATCATTAAACACTCACAGAAAACATAATACTGCACTACTAAAACAATACTTAAACAACTTAAACATTATGGTGATAATATTTATCCACTTTGAATTAACCTATAGTGGAGAACTATCACTGTGTAGTCAGAATACTTTTAGTACTGCCACTGTTATACATTTGAGCAGAGAAGAGCTACAAGATTAACATTTCAAACAGCTTCTGTGAACATCTCCCTAGAGGTTTGAAAAAATATCCTAGGATGCACTGGGACACATCATCAGTGATGTATTCTGAGTTCATCGGTGTTTCAGGTCCCACAACATCAGACACCCTCCCTCAGGCGACCCAGCCAGGGTTGAACAGGCCCTGGCTGCAGTCAAAGACCTTACCAAAGCTTGTGACTAGTTTCTCAGTGATAGATGGTATTGCAACACCATCCACAAGGAATTGAAATGATGATCCTTTTCCATGCCTTGGAGGATCCACCTTCCCCCAGGGACTGATGTAGTGGTGTAGTGATATCAGGTCATCCATAAAGGCTCTGGTGGGGGGCTGCCAGGTTGCCAGACTTGGACAGTGGGCCTCTGCATTCAGTCTCAGCTGCCTTGACCAACATGTTCATAGCTAGGGCAAAAAGAATAACTGAGATGGTGCACCCAGTTATAATCCCTCTTTCAAGCCTGTGCCAGTCGGATGTTGAGCTCCCAGCAGACAGTCTTAGCCTGAAGTTCCCATAGTAGCCCAGGATGAGGGCCTTGATCCTGCTGGGCGCATGGTGATTCTCCAGGGTGGTCTCAACCAGCTTGTGAGGTATTGAGCCGTACGCATTGGCTAGCTCGAGTCAAAGCACAACCAGGTCCCCCTTCCCTTCACGGGCCTCCCTGATCAACTGAGTGACAACTTCGGTGTGTTCCAGGCACCCGGGATCTCCTGGAATGCCACCTTTCTGAACTGGGGTGTCAATGTACTTGTTCTTTATGTAGCAGGATGATGTGTCTCCTCCCTGCTTAATGTGTGAGTTTGTGTTGCCTTTCTTTCAATGGGGTCCTCATTAGCCTATCACCTCATAGGGGCACTCTATAAAGGGAAGTCGTTTCCAACTCCTCTCCCTCTTGCTCTTTGTTTTGCCCACCCACCTCCGGGTCCCCTCACTTCCTTCCCCTCGCTGGGGAAGGAAGGAACATACTGGTTCAAGTATGTTAGCAGAAGCTGTTTTGGCTGAAAACGTTTTTCCTATGCGCTGTTTCATCATACGTTCTTGCTTGTATTTAGATGCGTTACTTGCGGACCCTCCGCAGGCATGAATGATGCTGCTGGTCTCTACCGCTACATCGCGAGAATTACGCGTTCCTCTCCGTCTTGTGTTTGGCACTGTGAGCTGGGTGAGTTTTTGTTGGAGAATATCTGGGATGATAGTGTTGAAAGGCGAGCTGAAGTCCACAAACAGGATCCTAGCATAGGTCCCTGGGGAGTCGAGGTGATGCAGGATTTATTTCAGACCCATGTTGACTGCATCATCCACCGAAACTGTCTGCCCGGTAGGCAAACTACAGGGGGCAGGGGGCCTGTGATTTCCTTCAGGTGGCTCAACACCAGTCTCTCAATGGACTTCATGACAACAGACTTCAGGGCGACGGGCCTGTAGTCATTGAGTCCTTTGATGGCAGGTTTCTTCGGGAATGAAATGATGGTGGAGCTTTTGAAGCACAAGGGCATTTCACACAGCTCCAGTGACATGTTGAAGATCAGCATGAAGATGGGGGCCAGCTGCTCAGCACAGGCTCTCAGGCAGGAGGGACACACACCGTCTGGTTCTGGATCTTTTTTTATCTCTGAAAGAGCTCAGTTACCTCCTTCTCGCAGATTGTTAGTGCAGGTGGGGAGTCAGAGGGGAGTGGGTACTGAGGGCAGAAAGAAGATCATAGGCTGTTTTCGAAACCGCATACTACATACTACTATCTAAATCAGTATGCAGTATATACTGTATACTGCATACTGAGTTCAACAGTAGTATGTAGTATGACTGCCAGTCGTCGGTTATTTTGCAGTATGCTTGGCCCTGGTTAAACTGGTTTTACTCAGCTGTGAATAATTTGTAGTAATAGAGCAAGCCAAGGACCCTGTAATTGCAGCTGCTTGTCCAGCTGTGGCACATGCACTGTACAGTCTACAATGCAGGAAAATCCGAGGCAGTAAGACTTATAAATATATGAATGTCATATTTGTTATTGGTTCATAATGTGGCAAGATATTCAGTCACCGCCATCGACGAGTTCAAACAGCTGTGCTCCGGCATTTTGATCTCTGACCTGGCACTTTGCATTGTGGGAAACAGTACGCGAGGTAGACTGGTCCGATGCATACTGTACAATTTTCCCAAATCAGTATGACATCCAGGTATTTTTGGCATACTGCAGATCTCGCAGTTGTTCACACAGTGCATACTGCATACTGCATTTTGGCCAAATCAGTATGTACTAGTAGTATAGCATGCGGTTTCGAAAACAGCCATAGTCTGGGTGTCGGGGTGGTGTTGATGGGGTGAGTGTGAAAACCTGCAATAGAAGCTGTTCAGGTCTTCAGACAGTCTATTGTTACCTGCAGGGGGGTGGGTGGGTCTCCTGTAGCTTGTGACCTCTCGCAGGCCTCTCCAAACTGACAAAGTTTTTTTTCAGCTTCTCAGCGTAGCTCTTCTTAGCTACCCTGATCTCCCTCGTCAGCTTGTTCCTGGCCTGCTTGAACAGGTCCAGGTCCCCACTCTTGTAGGCTTCCTCCTTGGCCTGACCCATCCGGGATGTGTTCACTGAGCGAGGTTTCAGTAAAACACAGGGCGGCGGATCTTCAAAAGTACAAGTTTCTTGTGTTTAGGAGCAGCAGCTCATCTATCTTGTTAGCCAGAGAGCGGACATTTACCAGGTGATTTGACAGGAGAACAGTGCGTAATCCCCGCTGCCTCAGTTTAATGAACGCTCCTGCTCGCCTGCCCCGTCTGCGGCAAAGTCCATAGAGAGATTCAGCTCCTCCGGCAAGAATCTCCGCGAAACTTTCTGGTTCAGTGGAAACCGGTGAAAAAGTTCGGCAGAGGACAGTCCAATGCTAAGTAGTTCTTCTCTGGTATATGAGACCAGAGAAGGGGAGCAGAAAACTATTAAATTAAATAAAAACACGACAAGTACTAGAGAGCGCAGAAACCATCTGCGGCGCCATCTTTGCACTTCAGACAATCTGAACAGGCATAGGTAGAAACTGTTTTTTAAAAGCCTGTCCCACATGGATATAATACAATGTATCATGGAAATACATTTTAAAAGTAAAAATAGGGTTAGCTCATTTTTGTATAGTATACTAGTATATTTATCACCACAAGATGTTAGAACAGTTTGCTGAGTGTGACTGAATATGGAGCTATGTGGTACGTAAAGGTGTTGATTCTTACCTAAGCTGGTTGTGACATCCGTTATAGAAGTGGCTCTTCTCCTCCTGCTGGGGCCGGGACATTTTAATTCTGGAAACACAGCACAGACAATTTCTTAAAAAGGTGCACTATGCATCATTTCAAACATGAATATAGCAGATGTCAAATATATCTTAACTACATATATGAGTAATCGTTTTCAGGAAAAAATAGTGAAATCAAACTCTCTCAGTGTTTGTTTTTCTTAGCTCTGTGTTCACACTAATGGGATGGTGGTTCCATTAGCTTGTTTATGTTTCAATCAGAGGCTCAAAAATGTTCCATAGACATTTTTTTCCCACTCAAACCCCTATCCGGCCTAAGGGTTGGATGAAACCCTGTTCAACCGTTAGCCCTGCCACCTCGGGTAAATGGCCCCATCCACTCAGGGTGTATGTAGAGGCATAATGGCAGAGTATTGTTTCAAAATCTGAGGGATGATAGGGAACAGTAAGGTTATTCTTCTCCTTCTTTTTCCTTTCTGTTCTGAAAATTACTCTGGACTTGTTTTCATGGGGGAGCTATGCCAAAATGCCGTCCAGTGTGAGCAAGGCCGCCGGTGGCCCAGCAGACCGGCTTGTAGGCGAGCTGACCCAGCCTTGTGTTTTCCCTGTCGTGAGATCCAGTCATTTCTGTCACTGCCATTTCTTGACTTTCCTTCACACTTCAGGTTAGGGCTAGCTTTTTGTTTTTTTTACGTGTAGCCGGTGCTTCACTCACTCGTAACACAAGGGAACAACTGAAGGAGTACCAACTGATTTTCCAAACAGAAGAAAAGACTCTGTTTGGACTAAAATACTTCAAAGAAATAAGAACTGAATTGACTTTGTGCTGCATGTCAGAAGTGAGATATGGACAGGGGGTGGTGCACTAAGAGAGTTTTGTTCTGAGAGACTGGTGCTGAAGTGAGACTTCTGCTGGATCGAAAGCTGCATATTATACCCTAAAACCCAATAAGGTTTTGCCAACTTATTCCTGCATGTTATTAAGGACGTAATACTCTTAAATCAAAATAAGGTCACTCAACAAAGTTGGACGCATTGCCCTTCTTGTGCACTTATTGATGATTTCACAACCACTTGTCCTGAGTGGTTCTTCATATGTTCCCTTCTGTACATAAAAGACCAAAGAAGGTACATTGAGTGAAGGGTAGAGCAGAGTCTTGGTACCTTGTCTGTAGGGAGTCCCAGAAGCAGCGTTGGACTCAAACAACAGCCCTGCATCATAGAACACACCCATACCGTCTTTTCCTCCACCTGGTGTGCAGCCTGTGTCAGATTTCTCTACAATGTCCCACACCTGCAGGAGAAGGTGATTCACACACAGCAAAACAAACAGCAAAGGCTCAGATATGTGTCACATGTCTGGCTTACAAAATGAATACTTTCTATGTGTGCAATTTGTATCTTTAACAATTTAACCCCAAACAAACATTTTAAAAGACAAAAGTAAAATTGCCTTCTTCTGGGTGAGGCGGTGCTTGTTGTTCAGGACATAGACGCCTTTGTCCACTGCCACCAGTCCCACTGTGGCCCCTGGGTCTCCTGTTACCTTCAGACCAAACATCCTGCGAGGCTCAAAGGATGGAGCGGGTCTCGATGATTCCAGCCTCAGCTAAACGTGAAGGAGATGTCAGTGAGATCTGAAGCTTCTTATCAGTTTAATGAGTGTCATTCATTTTGAAAATTCCCTAGAAATATGCATTCATGTTAATCAGTTTGTGTGTGGGTGTGCTGTGGCACATTGCTACATGTGGGTCTCACCGAGCCCATGCAGGAGTCCTTGACATCCACCCAAACAGAGTCGGACACCACTTCATTATCATTTGTGTGGTAGTAGGCTAGGATGCGGAACGATGGCAGCATTTCTTTGGTGATAGGGATTATCAGGGAAATCAGCACCTGACCTATTGAATGGAATCGGCCATTTTTCACCAGCTGACCTCTGCTGAGGACCTGTTGACTCAAACATAAACAATCAGAATATAGAAATCAAAAACAACAATAAAACTATCGCATATGCACATTGCACATTGCATGTGCAGATGCAAAACATCTCTTACCAGGTATGTGATATCACTTCGTGCGTTTTCCTGCCTGTTTAGGTTAAGATTAATTTTAAGATTTTCTCCTACTTCCAGCTCAGCTGCATCCACACCTGCAAAAGTGACACACTGATATGACCGACTGTTATGAGTGCCTGACACTGCAAAGATCTGGAGCATTGCTAATGCTTTGTTACTTTCACCACTATCACTACCTGTGCTTAAAGAGCCCATAATATGACCTTTTTGGGGTTCGTATATTTAATCTATGTACCTACTAAAGTATGTTCACAATAGCTAAAGTTTGAAAAAAGTGTCTGTTGTCATGTACTGCCGCTCCATGCACCGGACTCATCGGATTATTTTATTACGTAAAATACACTATGCCCATATACGGGTTGTGGCAGATTTGATTGACAGCGCTGCGCACTGCATCTGTCTGTCAGGTCAGGAGGCTAGGTCCGTCGTGTTTCTCATCTTTTTTTCTTCGTTTGGAGAGTTTGTTTAACACATATCTGACAACATATATGGCTTGCTTTGCGGTTAACAGACCATCCAAGAACTTGAAACGGAGTTTGTGTGATGTCAAAAACTAAAGGTCCACCTCGGTGGTTAACCGCAGACTGTAAATATGGTTATCCAATGTTATGATGAATGTTAGACTCCAAGTAAATGTCGGCATTAAAAGACAAACTTTGTGCATAAAGTTCAATATTAATCAGATGATACCCGATGGTTAAACAGGTTATAGAGGATGATATTAATGTTACATGGTTGACGTTCATTTCGACGGCCCACAAACTCAAACTTCAACATTTTCTCTCATTATTATTATAACATAAACAGGCGGTAACAAGTACAAAACTAAAACTGTCGACAGACAGAGATCAGCTATATGTTGAAGCTTAAACAGAATAATTGATTTGTGCAAACAGAATAATTTGATTTGTGCAAACGGTTACCAAATTCAATTTTTTTTGTCTCTTTGTATGAGTTCAGGAAAAATGTATATGGTTATTAATATAGTTTTTCATCGTTACAGATGCTCTTACAAAGAACATAGCAGTAGAAATATAAAATACAAATAACATATGGAATGAAAATAAGATATAAAGCCATAAGTACAAGAAATAGTTTGAAGATTACAGCCATGTACCGAACTCATGTTAATAACAAATGAGCTACTGTATGTTGGGTACTGAAGCACAGAGAGTTGGGACCTGTTAATGATTTAAATAATTCAGGTAGTATTTGTTTCATGTTAAGATTAAGTACTATCCACAATAAAATACTAAATTTTTCCTCCAAAATCTGAGATAATTCTACGTAGAATATCATTCAAGTGAGTGAGAGAGCTGAAAATAGAATGAATACATTAAGGTTTAGCTTCTTAACTTTGAATAGATGTTGATTACCTGAATACTGTACCTTTGTTGTCTGGGTAGTACACTGTTGAATTTACGCACAGATGAATACAGAAAATGCACAAAAAAATGATTTAATGGATAACTGCTATTTTCTGTCTTTCTTTGCCATCCTTTAGACACCGCACTAAAAGTCCATGTTCTCCTGGATCCATGTCACATGCTCAAGCTCCTTCTGAATTACTTTTCAACAGTTGAAGTTCTGGTGAGAGAAGATGGCCAGCAGATAAGACGGCATCAACGAGCTCCACAAGCTTCAGGAGAAGGAGGGTCTGCACCTTGGCAGACTGTATTCATGCTTCAGCTGTTCAAATAAAAATAGATCTCCTCCTAACAACTTGGAATCAAACCATTTTCTTCCCATTTTAAAACCCTTTGTCCAGTTTAGATGGGAGAAGTTGATATTATGTGATATTGAGCTGGGAAGACTACATTTCTAAATAATTTTAACTGTTTTCATTCACAAGTTATTGATCTTATTTACTCTCGATTTATCTTGATTTAAGAATGGGGCTGCAAAGGTCATATTTTTGCAATGACTCTGTACCATCCCATTTTCAGAACTACATTAGTATTTGGTAAAAAAAATGTGAAAAGAATAAAAAGTTGTGTAAAAGTAGACTTCCTTCCCTAAGCTATTGAGTTGAGCATTAATGCATAATTTAGTCTTGTCATTTCAAATCTAAAATGTATACTCATAAGTAGAGACAAAGGAGTGCATTTATATAGAAATATTTATTTAATCTGAAAAAACACATTCAAAAAGCCTGTTTTTACAGCAGAGATTAACATGTTTACAGCTTGGTAGAAAACAAACAAATAGGTCTGATTAGCTCATGTCTTGTCTCTGTTTTGATTTGATGAAGCATAAGAGTTATTCACAATAAGGCGTGTAGCTGACCTGATTCGGCGGGCGCGGTGTAACGGTTTGCCAGGAGGCTTAAAACCAGCCTCAGCTCCAGCTCTCAGCCTGTCGCTAGGTTGAATGAAGGTAAGCATTTCAAGCATGGAGACCGCCATCGATGCAGGAACATGTGGGTGACATGCCTCAGGCCCTCGCAGCGAGTTGTTGAAGAGAAACAACTCTCTGGGCACCTCGACGGACGTGTCACCAATAATCCACACTGTGTCTATAGGAGAAATACAAAGGTGTTCAATTAATGCCTCAGGCAAGACAAAATGTACAGTTAACTACACGTGACAGGGTGTTTTTTTATTAGCCACAGCTGCAGGAATAATTTTGAACAAGGTAGCTGCAACTCCTAATAATAGATGCCAGTCTTAAATACTATTTTTTCTAAAACTTACAGTTGTTGGTGTGCAGCTGACACCATTCGTCACTGGCCATGACCACAGACTCCATGACTTCACGGGGTTCTATAGAAAACAAATATCTTATGATAAATACTAAATATTTATTTTTCAATTGTCATGTTCACCCACATCGCTGTTGACATCAGTAAATATAAGTCCAAGACATTCCTCTTTTTGTCAGAACAGTAACAACCATGAACTATATGCATTGTAATATTGATTTCTTCTGGATGTCTCACATATTTATTTACGGTCTATGGTCTAACAGTAGTTTTATCAACAACAGTGTTTTGTCAAAATTAAAGGACAAGCAATAATGGATAAAAATAATGTGAAAATGTTTATTAGGGCCCGAGCACGAACCGTGCGAGGAAACCCTAGCGATTATTATTTTTAGTATTTTTATTGTTCTGCCACTTTGCGGCCACTTTTGAGGGCCTGAACGTGCACGAAAACTCACCAAACTTTACAGGGTCTTCAGGTCTCGCTATTTCGATATTTTGGTGGTTTCGTAAACAAATTTCGCAAAATGGCTCAGTGGCGCCCCCTTGAAATTTTCAAAATGGCCTCTCCATGAAGGTTTTTTTCACGTACACTCATGAAAATTGGTACGCATATTAAGCTTGTCAGGATGGACTAGAAATCCTCTTGCAGCATTTCAAAAAACTCGACAGGAAGTCCACAAATAAAGTTGAATTTCACGATAATGGCCCAAAATCGCTAAAAATTGCCAATTTCAGCCTTCCTATTTGAATGAACTTGTCCGAGGGCGCTCATCCGATCAGCACAGTGTCAGTGCGTTCTAGACAGGCTCAACATATCTCGTTGTGCGCTGCAAGTTTTTTTGTCAAAGGGCGTGGTCATGGCGTGCAGTGAATCACTGGAGCATGCGTACATGGGCCTTTTATACTCTCGCATGCAGCCAAGGGAGTGGTGTGTCTTAAAGATTTTGTCCACGTTAGATGTCCTGAATGGAATCAATTCCCATATTGGAAATATGTTTGGTGAAGGGACAACCTCGATACGATAGAGAACACAATGTGAGAATTTAAAAATGTAAAGATTAGCCTCAAAATGTTTCTTACATTTTATGATAATACTTTGCTAACGTATTGCTCTGCTAACCCGGACAAAGTCTAGTAACTGCTCTGACAAATAACTAATAACCATAGTTGTATATTTAAAAAAAGTGTAGTTTTAAGACTTTAATTAAATATTTGGGTTGAAGATAATTTGTTTTAACTGTGTTGTACAAAAGATAAATGTTAACTTACTGTTTATAGAGATAACTCCAGACGAGCAGGAAAGTCGTAGGGGATGATAGCAGTCATAGCCGTTGGCTTTGATGTGAAATGGATCGTTGAGCTGAATGGGCGGAGTTAAGTCCCGCCTTAATGCTGTTGCTAGGTTGATCCGAAGTTAGGTTGAGACCCCATTGAGACTGCAATTCCAATATGGATGTGCCCGTCGATTAGACTCATTTGCTGCCTCCGTAACAGATGGGTGACGTCACTCAGGGTTCGTCCAGTAATATTTACAATCTATGGTTGATCCGGGTACTTTATGTCAAAGCTACCCAACTCTCAAAAGTTTTCAAAAATATATGTAGCCCTGGGCAATTTAAAAGCTTTATATGCAATTTTTTGTACCTGGCTAACGTGATGATTACAGGGTACAACCTACGTTGTTGCATTTTAATGTATGTGATTCATTGTCAATAAGTCATGTCATTTTTTTCTGTTTGGTGATTGGCGGTGGGGTGGGAGTTAGCGGTAAGAGTAAATGAGGAAGAAAAGAGACGAGAGAGAGAAGTCCGTGGCAGCAGCAGCGTGCAGCAGAATTAAAAGACTGAAAAGTGAGTTTTTACTGTCCAGCTCGGTCAGTTAAAAGTTTCCCCGGAGTGTAACGACTTTGGAAGTGGACTTGGTTAATGTGAGTGTGAGCTGCAGCGGCAAGCTGAGCTCCGACACGACGAGGGAAGAAGAGGATTTTATCTAGTCCGACGGTCCTCCGCAGTCAGCCATTAGTCCGCTAGCTTTGTCTTCACCTCCGAGTTGTGTAAGAGACTGTTGCTGTTTGAAGTTTGTAAGACTTTTGTTGATTGTGAGAGCAGCGGCTAGCTGTATACCACTGAGTGAGGAATAAGATTTCTGCCACTGAGGGTCTGCCATGTTCAGCCTGCCCGCCACCCGCTCGTCATCTGCCCGCCCGCAGTTCGCAATCAGCCTGCCAGTGTATCCTACTAGCTTGATGCTAGTGACTTGAATTCTGTTACTGTGAGTATTCACCTGCTATTACTGCCTGGTCAACGTGAACCAGCTTCAACTGTATTCGGCTACAACTCTACACCTTCAACCAGGCCTGCAACGGGGGTTTGTTTTATTTTATTTTTTGCCGGTTTGTGAGAGAGTGTGTGTGTGTGTGTGTGTGTGTGTGGGCCCACAAGTTTATTTCTAGTTCTTCATAAAAGTGTTAAAAGCTATTTTTTGGTGTTTACTACTAGAGGTTTTCTATGGTACAATGCGTTTGGGGTGAATAAAAAAAAAGTTAAGGAACATTACATTTAATTCAGTCAGCTGAGTTAAAACTCTCATTTGAGAAAAGTCAGTTGTAGGCTACCATATTTTGGGTTACTGTTATTTGATATATGGTAAAAGTCACTCATTTTCTTTTTGTTAATAAATTCCGGGTCAATCCTTGGGACATATTTGTCATGTGATTTATTTAATGTGTTTATATTCTCAGTAAGACCACAAAAAGGAGTTGTATGATAATCATTTAACTTTGAAATTAAAGGTGCAGGTGCGCTGCCTATTGAAAAGGGTACAGAAAGTGCTACATATATTTTATCCAAATGAAATCCAGGATTGGATTATCTGATATTATTCGTCAAGGTAATCTTTTTTTTCTTTTGAACAACCATGCACTTGTGTTACTTGTGGTTGTTCCTCACCTATGTGGATGTAGTTGTTGCTGTTGGTGGTATACGGTGCAGCTGTCATGGTGGCTGTTGCCTGTCTTTCATGGGAGATATGTGGATCATTGGTTCTTGCCTGCAATTAAAGAACAAACAGGTTAGTCTACTTAGGCTTAAATAGTTGGATAAACCTTTTTCCTATGCTAATATTGCCTGAACTGAAATAGTTTAGCCTAGCAATGTAGTGTGCCCTCATGATGAATAAAGAACATAAATCCAAAACAATCCAAAGTATTTTCATACAATAAACAACAAAGCACAAGTCTTTAAGTCTGCATATGATACAATACATTGTCTGTTACCAACACTGCATACAATAATATTGTTTAATTTAGTGAGGTAAAAAGTGAATGTTTGGTTTTTATTTATTTGTAGGAGTAATCTGCTTTAAGTTACATCCAATAAACATCAAGTCAAACTAAAACTTAACTGAAGTTATGAATGATTTCAGATATGTGCCTGCTGGTTTGGTCTGCTTTATGACTTTCTATTCATATTATTTAACGCTGTATTATTCTGTATTTGGCCACCAGGGGGCAGAAAACTGTCAACACTGCGTTACACACCTGTAAATAGCTATGAAAAATGCGTATTATTCGGATAAACTGGCTTTATATTGTTTGTTGTGTGTATGAATTGACCAGGTGACAAATGAGTTTCCCCCCTGGGAATCAATAAAGTTTTCTAATCTAATCTAATCTAAATTAAGAAGGTGTTTATAAAAACACTTACAGTAATTGACAGTCTGCTGGTCCTGGCCGCTGTATTGATGGATAGCCGTGCCATGCCATTAGCTACGGTGAAGCCCTGCACCTGACCTGGATCGACCACCACTGAAACACCTCTTGCTGGAGTGCCATCAGGATTCACAACTTCAACCTGTCATTTGAAACACAAACAGTTAAATTATCAGAAAACATATGTATACATGCAGCTGCATGCACAATCTTAAGGTCAGGTACAAGGCAAGTGTTTGTCTTTGTAGTCCCAGCAGTCCCAAATTTAAAAAAATAACCCAATTAGTCAGAATTATTTTTTATTGAAGAAGAACTTGTGCTTTCAAATTGTTTTTCTGCAAACTGTTCATCCCACAGTCTCCTTTCTTTTTACCAAATATTACTGAGTCTAAAAATTGAACTGAGCTCATTTCTATTTCCTTCCACTTGGGGTTTTTGGTTTCACTCATCCATGTCATTATGTGTTTTATCTGAGCAGCATAGAAATACTTACTGAGATCTGGTAATGCCAACCCCCCCAGTGGATTTCAGTTTCTTTAAGTTTTTTAATTTCACTCTCGGTTTTTTGTCATCCTATATGAATTTTCTTAGGGTTTTATCCCATTCCTTAAAGGTTATTGGCTTTATATAAGTTGGTAAGTTTTGAAACAGGAACAATAATTTTGGAAGTATTGTCATTTTAATTGATTTAATTCTTTCAAAGATAGATAGATTCAATATTTTCCATTTATTCAGATGTTCTTTCACTTGGTCTATCAATTTTGTGTAATTTATTGAAAACCGTTCCTCCAGTTTTTTGGGGGGATTTTAACCCCCAGGTATAATAATTCTTTGCATTCCCATTTAAATTTGTATTCTCTCTTAAGATCATTTTCTATTTCCTCACCTACTGTCATTGCTTCTGTTTTATTAATATTTAATTTATATCCAGAGGCTAAACTATATATATTTATTTCCTCCATTAAAGTTGGGAGGGATGTATTTATATTTGTTACGTAAACTATCACATCATCGGCATAAAGTGCTAATTCATGTTCATTTTCTCCAATTTTAATGCCAGTTATTGTTTTATTTATTCTTATACTTTCAGCTAGTGGTTCCATGCATAAAGCAAAAATTTGTGGTGACAGACGATCACCTTGTCTTGTACCTCTTTTGAGTAGAAACGTGTCAGACAGTGTCCCATTGACCCTAATTCTTGCATTTTGCTGGTTGTATATTATTTTTAAAATTTGTATGAATTTATGGTCAAATCCAAAAGCTTCAAAAGTATCAAATATAAAATGCCATGGCAGTCGGTCAAATGCCTTTTCAGCATCCAGAGTTAACATTAACAGTTGCTTACATGATTTTTATGAGTAATCTAACACATTCAGGGTACCATCCTTAAGCTGTCAAAAACATGAAAAACTGGAGGAGAAAAACTTTACCGAAACATCAAAGGACATTCCTGGTTTGTAAAACTTTGGCGTTTTCTTGAAGGTGATGGTGTAAGATGACGACATTGTCGCATAACCTGGCCAAATGCGATTTTGGTAAGGCTACTGTCACCTATTTAGGATAGGAGGTCGGCCAGGGTTAGGTGCGCCCTCTCGTTGCCTAAATCCAGGCTATCATTGAGTATCCCGCGCCCCAGACCCGTCGTGAGCTGCGCCGTTTCCTCGGCATGGCGGGCTATTACCGAGGGTTCTGTAGGAACTTCGCAGATGTTGTTGCACCCCTCACCAGTTTAACCAGTGCTATGAAAGCCTTCATTTGGTCCTCAGGTTGCCAGGCAGTCTTTGAATCAGCCAAAGCGTTCCTCTGTAGTACACCTGTACTGGCAGCACCTGTTTTCGCACGCCCCTTCAAGCTGGAGGTGGATGCCAGCGTGAACGGTGCAGGTGCGGTGTTGCTGCAGGAGGATGGGCATGGTGTTGATCATCCAATCAGCTACTTCTCCAAAAAGTTCAACAAGCACCAAATGAGGTACAGCACTATCGAGCAAGAAGCTCTTTCGTTGTTGCTCGCCCTGCAACATTTCGAAGTCTATATGGGGTCTTAGTTCGTTGCCCGTTGTGGTATATACTGACCATAATCCTCTTGTGTTTTTGGCGCAGATGAGTAACTCTAATCAGAGATTGATGAGGTGGTCCTTGCTTGTGCAAGATTGTCATATTGATGTGCGTTACAAAAAAGGATCAGAGTCTCGTGTCCACTGTCCTTCCTCAATGACAAACATTTTGGGGGAAATGTTTGTCATTTAGGAATGGGGGTGTTGTTTTTCTGCAAACTGCACCAGCTGTGCATATAATGTAACTGACCAAAAATAATAGAGGATCCTTAAAATAACATGTGACTTTCCCATACATAAATGTGTTTTTGCAAAAGCCTATTTCTTTGGAAGTAATTGCCATCCTTTTTTCTTTTTTTTTAGATGAGATTGAGATTCTTTTTTTAATGGGGAGATAGGACAGTGGATAGAGTTGGAAATTAGGGAGAAAGAGAGTGGGGAATGACATGTGGGAAAGGAGTCACAGGCTGGATTTGAACTTGGGCCGCTTGAAGGACCAAAGCCTCAATACATGGGGCGCACACACTAACCACTGCGCTACCAGCGCCGCTAATTGTCATCCTTGAGCTGTCAAAAACATTAAAAACTGGAGGAGAAAAACTTTACCGAAACATCAAAGGACATCCCTGGTTTGTAAAACTTTGGCGTTTTCTTGAAGGTGATGGTGTAAGGTGATGTGACAATCTGGATACTTCTCAGCTCTGCCTCCACCATTTCACCACCTGTGAGTTCATCCAGAATCACATGATCACACAAATTGATAACAAAACTTGAACATCCCTTTGCTTGCTGCTTGATAAACCGATACAGAAACATGCATCCTTTACATCTTCCGCATCTTAATTTGGAAAATGTTGACATAAATAAAACTTGTTTAGAAACTTAAGAGGCTGAATTAGTAAGAATATAAAATGATCGATCATACAGAACAGAAACAGTCAGTCTCACCGCTCTCTGTAAGCACGCTGACTGCTACAAATATGGAGCTTCCCACAAGTTCAATAATGTTGTTGAAGGTCTGTGTGATGTGCTCCCTCCTCAGAGTAACCAATCCGTTACCTCCCTGGATCTAATGTGACAAAATACAGGAATGCATCTTTAAATGTAGTACAGTAATGCAGTGAATACTTGGAGGTACTTCACTAAACTTGAAAATGTAATCCATCAGCATGGCTGTTATGATCACGGTGGCTATAGCTCTGTCATTAGGGACTTGGATAAGAACCGGATGGGTCACCAGTTCAAATCCTGTTGCGGACCAAAGTATGGAAGTTGGTGTAGTTGCTTGAGAGACGCCAAGTCACTTCCCGGGTACTGCCGGGGTTTTTTATGATTTCAATTACTGCATATAATGTATGCTTAAGGTCACATATTATCCTCCTTTTCAACCAGTTTAAATAAGTCGCAGAGGTCCCCAAAACATGTCTGTGAAGTTTCTTGTTCAAAATGTTTTCTTCCTGTGTTCCGTGTATATGTGTATACCTGTGTACGAACTGTGCAAGGCTGTGACATCAAATTCCCCCCTAAGGGGACAATAAAGTATTACATTAGATTAAAAAAAAATCTACTCTGATCCTGTATTTAACATGCTTATAAACCCCTCTATTTCAGCCCTGCTCAGAACAGGCTGTTTCTGTGTCTGTAGTTTTAAATGCAAATGAGCTGTGTCTGATCACAGCTGTGATGACGGCCTTATAGGGCTCAACAGTGTGGTTCCGGATGAAAAATTGCCATTTCTTTTCTCCATAGCAGATTTGATTATTAGCCATAACCATCCAAGGTAGACTTACCACGAGCTACCTGAGTGTAGAACGATGGTATATGCTCCTGTAGGAGACACAAGTTCGTATGATATCAACCTCAATTTAAAAAACAAGATTTTTTCGCAACATCGGGGAAAAGAACTACACTACCCACGATCATAGAGTGTTTCTGATTCTTTGAGCCTGCTGTTACCATAGAAATTTTTCCTGCCCCTCGGAATCGAATGCGAACAGATACGTTTCGCGACCAGGCTAGCTAGTTAGTTAGAAACACGAAATGTAGCCTACCAATAACCTTGTCATGCTGCAGTGAATGTAGTTTATATTTTCCACAACAAAAACTACAAGATAGTACAACACTTGTATTAACATTATAAACAATATAACAACAACAAAAGTTACTTTTAAGAAGAAAAGATATCACTTGCAATGGATTGTGGGATGGGTAGTTCCTTGACTCTGGATGAAAATGATGTACTTGGTCTTGTACCTTTTGCCTTATTTTCCTTTTTTAATGCCGTTTTGGTGCCGAATTAAATGTACTATAGTCACGAGTATTGGGGTAGCTGGCTATCTTGGTTCCATGTGACAATCTCATGATAAAAGGATTTTGTGAAAAATCAAGGGAGGATTTGAAATGTATTTCCGGAACCAGAGGTGCCGAAAAGGTGGGCGGTCACTGTTGAGCTCTATTGTTCACAGTGAGATGGCAGACTCAGAGGACAGAACAAACACCCAGCTGTGGGAGTGTCCCCCACCTGGGGGAGGGATTACTTCCATTTGTGATGTCATGAAGGGAAAATCTCCAGACCGCCTGTTTGAGCACACATTTTCTGAAACGTTGAGCAATCAAAATATGTAGAGGACAGACTTTCCTCACAATTGAGGGGTTTGTAGACAGACTAGGGCCAACTATTAGTGTTCAAAAAACATGGTAAAGTGTATTTTGCATAATATATGACCTTTAAAGCCAAGCAGTAAGACATACAATAAGTGATCAACTATCAAGCTAAAAAAGAAAAAAAAAACAGAAAAGTAAAGCTGTGTGCTCACCGGCACTCTCTGAAGAGAACTTGGAAAGCTCCTCTTTTGACCATCTTGCATAACACCAAACACCACGTAGGCCGTCCCATCCACTTCTTGACCAAACAGGTACCTAAAACAGAGGGGGAAATAGAAAATTTGATTGTCAACAACACAACCTTTAATCTTTGAACTTCCCTCGGGATCAATAAAGTATCTATCTATCTATCTATCTTTTTTTTTATTCTCCTCAAATTAATGTACCAAATCTTTTACATACGTAGCTTTGATGTCGACGGTGAACTCTTGGTTGTCCACGTAAAAAAAGGGGCTCACAGGAATCAGTTTGACCTCGAAACTGGGCAGCACTGAAAATGTTTTAACATTTTAACCCTATTTATTAATTTAATTTAATAATAAACCTTATTTAACTTAATAACTAGTTTTAAAAAGTATGTAAAGCTGTGTACATAACAGAGGAGATAATTGAAAGGCTCACCATATTCTTTGACCTCAAACTCAGCGGAGTAGCTCTGCTGTGGGTTGCTGTGAAACTTTGCAACCACCTTCCACAGTCCTGGACTACAGCCACCCAAACACAAGAACAAACAGTATATGTCGGTAATCAAGCAAAAACATTCATAACATTGGGAGACTAAAGGTAAAACCTAGAGTATAATTAGTTGGGCCTACTCTGTTCATTTCAAGATAAAATTAGTTAAAACACTATTTAAAGGAATAATTAAACCTTAATCACTTTCTGAATAAAAAATAAAAAGTTAATAGCTTGGATCTGTGTGTTAGCCATAAAATATAGTAAGCCATAAAAAGTTGAACTTGCTACAAATTCTAGAAACAGGAAAATAATTATTAGTTTAAACAAACGACTCCTGAAGCACCTCTCAAATCTACTTGTTCAGGGTTTCCTCATTTTTGTTTAATCTGTTACAACAAAAATAATAAAACCATCCAATAGGTGTTAAACTGGGCATTCAATGGGATGAGGCACTTCCATAAGTCATCAATGGCTGCCAGTCAATGTGTTACTTCAGAAGAAGCTAGGCTAGCTGTTTCTACTTATAAGCTAACTGTCCCCTGATGCTATACTTAATGGACAGATATGACTGAAGTAAAAATATCACCTGCCTTAACTTTTAACAAGACAACAAGTTACTTAAAGCTGGAATTACTAACTAGATTGCTTGTTTCCACATGAGTGAAAAGTGACCCTCTAGCTAAGCTAGTTAGCTACCTTTTAGCAAGCCTGCTTCAACTTAGCTGTTTTTTGCTAGCTTAGTTTTGGTCTCACAGTGATGTGATGTACGACCCCATTTCATAAAAATGTGGGAAGTGGTGTAAAATATGAATAAAAATAGAGTGTGTTTTACAAAATATTAAAACCCCATGAATAAATGTAACATAGCACAAGACACAAGACAACATATCAAATTATAAACTAATATATGTCATTGTTTTTGGAAATGACCTGTCCATTTTTATTTTATCAACACTGTAAGTGTTTTTTTAAACTGAGGAGATACATTTCAGTCATTTTAAAAGTGGAGTATTTTACCTTTCAAATCTAATAACTCATATTTCATAATTTAGTTAACTTAAATCTGTTTCACAAGTTGAAACTCCAGTGGGCTCAATTCAAAAAACTGTTTCTCCTAATGTAGCCTGCAGTAGCCTACTTGAATATAGATATTTATAGAGGTTTTAGAAACACTGAGTAAGAAACACAATTTTTTGCACTAACAAAATAAAATGTATTATAATAGTAATTAGTCCAGGTAAGCCTGATTTGTTGTTGTTATTAGTCATAATGAAATGTAGGATAACCACTTCACAACTAAATGTACGACAGTAAAACGTGAGAATTTATTGTGTTAATTTAGATATAAGTCATACCTGACAATTTCTGCCAGCTGGTAATCTCCGGAGTGGATCCCTGATTTCAGAGAGACTGGATCAAGTGGTAAAATCATGCCTTCAGGTGTCTAAAAAATAAACAACATTTGGTAACCATTTATTTGAGACATTTAAATGTACAGATTAATACATACATGATGTAACATGATACATATATTACATCACATATATATAATTATTTTTATTTCGATACATTAGCCTGGTTATTAAGGAGATGGCTTCTTTTTCTTTTTTTAAATAATTCCTTAAATTTCTTCCACTGAATGGAGAGGCTGAATGAAGGACAAAACCCCAACAACTAGAGGGGGACATGCAATTATGTTTTATTGTATTTGATTTGGTTAAATGTTAAAATGAGGTAGACCCCAAACCTGACAAAGACACAAGGCTGGTTGTTTAGCGTCAGGAAAAAAGCTGCCATTTATTGATGATATGATAGGCTACTATTGAATTAAAGTTTATGCTGCCCAAAAATAAAATACCATACCACAAACTCAATGGCAATTGAAGCATCAGTTGCGGTATCTTCATCCCTCTCTACCGGCTCCATTTTGGGCGTCACTGCAAACATTCTGTAATGAACTAAAAGAGATAGGAAATAAGAGGGTGGGGCGCTGGTGGTGCAGTGGTTAGTGCGCACGCCCCATTTATGGAAGCTGTATTCTTCCAAGCGGGCGGCCAGGGTTTGAATCTGACCTGTAGCTCCTTTCTCGCATGTCATTCCCCACTTTTCTCTCCCTGATTTCCAACTCTATCCGCTGTCCTATCTCAGATAAAGGCACATAAAGCCAAAAAATTTATCTAGCATGATTTGAAACTAGGATTCCTTCAGTGCTCCATATGCACTTACCCCCTCCCCTCTGTGCTACCTCAAAAGAAGACCTCAACTCATCGCTTGCATTGTGTAGAAACTACGTTGTCTAATTCATTGGTAACTAAACACTACACTTATATACTTATATATCATAATAGATGTTGAAAAAACGTGACTATTTTACTCAGAAGGGCCAACCTCTAAAATCCTCTAAAAGTATAAACTTCGTCATCTGTGACACGCTTTTAGTGTGGGCTTGGGTAGAGAACTAGCGGGGAGACAGGGAGGCGTGATTGGTTCATCAGATTGGTACCTCGTGGCAGACATTGGTCAAAGTTTTTACAGGCTTACAGCTGCTGCAGATGACGGATTTTCTTTTCAGAGCACATGAGTTATTAATTTCTGTCAGGATCTAAGGACAATTCCAACCAACATCTTAAAAAGTGGATCTGGAGAAAATTACCAACCCTGCCTTTAAGTGACTTATTTTCAGAAAATGATCTCTTGTCTTGTTAAAAAAAAACAAAAAAACACTTTCCACAGTGTTTCCAGCAGTGTGTACCTTTACTGTCGGGGGTATAGAGCGTCTTGTCAGTCTGGATGAAGATGTACCCAGACTGGAATGAAACTAGGACTACTTTCTCCAGCAGGCGGTCAGGGAACTGAGCCTGCAGGTACACATACTGCTTCATGTTTGGATCCCGACTGAAGTCTCCAACAGGGACCTGAAACCAGCAAGAAGACAAACACAATGAATAACCAATATGATGGAATATGTATAGTTGGCTTTCATGGATTCTAGACATCTTATTTGTTGTCTTGGCAGAAAATTAGGTAATAATATTCAATTTACCGTAATTTGCCCAAGCGCCTGAAAGTTATTTCCAGTGTTAAGGATTACATGTTTGAGTACAAGCCTGTTGTTTTTAGTCGGATGGTTCATCACGCTGATATCCACACTAATGTCTGCTCCTGTGCAGTCCTGACACTCCACAAAGATGTTTTCTGCTGTTCCTACACGCAACAGGTTGGGGGCAGACATCACCTGCCTGCAGAGAAGAAGGAAAGATAGACTGTTATGTAGGCGTGGTGCAAAAAGCGCTTCAAGCTATGTAATAATAACATTAATGACTTTATCTAATTTGCATGATTATGGAATCATTTTTTATTTATTTAAGAAATGTGACTGCTGAAACATACAAGGCCCACGGCAGTGTTTCCAACCCCTTTTTTCCTCTGTGTGTTATCTAGATTATTAGTGAATATGTGCAAGTCTAATATTGACAACCTAAGAGCAAACAGCTCCCCCCTCCAGGGTTGCCTGGACCACAGGTTGGGAATCAATTCCCCAGAGGTTAAAGGCCCCACAAAATTTCATATGTGACAAAATTGTATGTGTGTGTGTGTGTGTGTGTGTGTGTGTGTGTGTGTGTGTGTTAGAAATTCCCCTCAGAAGAAGATCAAGCAGGGGTGTTGTTTTCAGGCATCAATTTCAAGGCGTTAGAATCAATGGTTGTATGAGTTATATTTTAATATATTTAGTATTTTATTGTAATTGTTTCTGCTTAATGGTGTGTTTAATCTTCTGTTTTGTAACTGTCTAAAGAACTTTGGGTTGCTCTTTATATGAATGGTGCTCTTTAAATAAAATTGCCTTACGTTGCCAATGCATGTGGCACTTTTGAGTTAGAAAGTGCTTCACAATTAAAACTTAGACAAATAACAAATATAGATTCATTCATCATCAGTAAAACAAGGTTAAAACAAGGTTAAAAAAAGTGCATGAGAGCAAAGGTTTGAGAAAAAGCGGGACTTTAAAAGTGAGTTTCAGGAAGAAATTTCAAAGAGGACACTGAGTCTGCCTCCCTGAGATCTTCATGAAGACAGGGAGTTCCTTAGCGCAAAGACTGGGTCACCTTTTGTGACCAGTCAAGGTGTAGGATGAACAGATATCTGACAATGCGTGTCATGGTGTTATAAATCCTAACAATGAAGGGACAAAAATCAAACATGAATGAAAACATGGTCAGACAAGGGTGAGAGCCTCTATCTTGGAGTCTGTTAGTTAAAGTTTCAATTCAGCCAAATTGCAGAAACAATAAATCAAACAAAAGAGGAAGAGCTCCTGCATGGACTTCACAAATAATGAGTAATGTATTAATTATCTTGCTTCAGATCCAACATTGGATCAATACAACATTTCATAAAGTCTGGTGCAATACATCACTGTGCAAACTCAGACCACAGTTTAACCTTTGTGACACAAAATGCAAACTGGACCATTGCCTCTCATTATGTAAGACATTAGCTTTATGAAATATGCTTTTTAAATTGAATATGGATGAAGCCCCATATAGTGTTAGCTGCTTCCAAACATTTTCATTAAGAGCAAGTTGAACACAAGGAGCAGCGTAAACTAACATACACAACATATACTAGTGCATATCTCATTTCTTCTTCAGTAAACATTGAGCCCAGGTGGAATTACAAAGGTAAGGTGGTACATACAGTGGAGCTCCATCAGCGAGAGAAGAGAGAGATCCAAAGGCCAGAGAGGCCAGCAGCCACAGCATCGTCCTCCTCATCCTCTTACCAGATCCTGATCCCCTGACAAAGTAGAGTGTCACCCTGCAGCACCCTCCTTTTATCCACTCTCTACCCTCCTTCTGCACCCCCACATCACCTCAGTCTCCCCCCAGAGCGTCTCTCTGTACACAAACACACAATTTCCCAGCAGCAGTTGAGTAATGTTATTTCTGCTCTGATAAAAAAAATAAACAGTAGAAAATCAATGATGGTTTACAGACTAACTGACTCCAAAGCATTCTTCTTAATCAACGTTTCACTGCAGATTTACCAATACAGAGTCATTAAGACTTTATATTCATGACATTTTTAACATAAATCCTTTTCGTCCTGAAGTTTGTCATTACTCTAAATGGGACCCTGTTGAATCAGTCTCCTTTCACAAAATCAAACATTAATTATTCACAATCAACTTTTTGGGTTCAAGGCATCTTGAGTAATTTCCAGGCAAACACCTGGCACACAATTTGGGATTTTTTTTCTAGTTTCACAAATTGAATTTATCAAGAGAATCAGAATTAGAATCAGAAATACTTTATTAATCCCAGAGGGAAATTTGGTCGTTACAGTTGCACTAAAACACAATATAGCAATAGAAATAAAGTTAAATACAATTAAAATATTAATAAGATGGGAATGTAAGTAAAATATCAAGCAACAAGTACAAGAAATAGTTATAGAAGAATTAGAGTAAAAATAAGGGGCTTGGGCGCGGCGTCTTCGGCACAGGAACAAGGCAGAACATCTACCACAGCACAGGGACCCTCTAAAGACTCAGGCTCAAGCTGAAGACATGGTGAAGTACTCCACAAATCTATTAAAAAATGATTTTAGTCTGTTAGCCCTATCCACACTGCCTTCAACTTCTCTGCTGCGGCTTGACCTGAAGCCTGTGATGGTCTTCATGCCACTCCAGAACTCCCTCATGTTGTTCTGCTGGAGTCTTTGCTCCAGCTTCCTTCTAAAAGTGTCCTTGGCCTCCCTGATCTTCACTTTCAGGACCTCCTCTATTGTTCTTACCTCCTCCATATGTGAAAAATCTGAATTGGAATCATGTTTAATTGCCAAGTAGGTTTATTGCTTGAGATGTATATGCCATAAATTTCTATAGAATCTCCTAAAAAAAAGTAATGGGAAAGTACAACAAAATTTAAAGAATAAAGAGTGCAACAAACAAGTTGACTTCATTTTGAGCCTTGAAAGATTTAAGTGTAATAGAGACACATAGTTTGGGCAGCAACAGGCACAAACCAGTTTTTATCTGACTTTTGGTTAATATGCACAGTCTGATTCCATGCCTGGGATAGTTATATGTGTCTAAAATCTCAAATGTTTCTTTTCAAGTGTCTGTTAAGAGTGCATGTTATTTTGTGAAATGCCAAGAATGGCTAGTAGAAGTAATTCTTTATACCAGAGAAAAAGTTACTGCTGAGAATAAAGCCAGACTGTAACCTGCACACTCATAATTAGAGCACAGGAAAAGATTATTTCTTAGTACAAATTATAAGTGTAAAAAGTGTTGCAATGTCTATGAGAATGGGCATTATTAATAATTTCATATCTATTTACATCGAGTCAGAGTGAAGCTACATTAAGTAGCAGGGATGCGTTACAAGGGAATCAGAAGACAGGAGAAACAGATAAACTCTGTTTTAGTTTAAGTGTGAGTAAGAAAAGAAAAAACACTTCCTTGTCTTTGTGTATGTAAAGGCCTACGTCTTTGTGTTTGTGTTTTAATATTGTGTAAAAGAGAAAAAGTGAATTTCTACGTGGCTGTGTTAGAGAAAAGTGAATTTCTGTCTGGATGGGAAATAGTGGTTGTGTATGTCTCAGAACAAAAAATATGTGACGTGAACATTTTTAAATAGGTCAAAGGGGCACAAAGGACTTTTAAAAACGGGGGAGGGTACTTAACCACATTGGGTATGTGCAGCTATTAGTTGAGGGGACAGACCCCCTCGTCTTCCTGTGGTCTCTACGGACTTCCTCCCGCTTAGACTGAAACATGAGAACGGTGACGTATTCCCCCTCCTTTACAGAGTGCTGAGGTTTGTCCAGAGTAAAACATATCCTGTCTGGCTGTGACACATAGAGTATACGGTATATAGACCTGAGAAAAATGGTGCAAAGTAGCTGCCATGTAGTAAAGTATGGATAATGGTTGCAGAGTATTGTAATCACAGTATGATGCCGCAGTAATCCGCATCTTCAATATTCATGCTCCCATATCTATGTACATAGAAATTAATTTATTCCAACTGAGATGTTTGATTACTCTTCATAGTGGCCATTAAGATATCCCTTATTAGTGCAACAATATGACAAAGTCTGAAGTGATTATGGGATTTAAACTGTCTAAGCCAGACAAACTGCATTATGTATCAAAAGTGTCGGTCCAGTTACTTTCCCTTTGATGCAGTAAACAAAAGTTGTCAGGAAAAGACAGAGGGCCTTACTCTGAAGTGCAACTCAATATTATTTAATATGGAAACAAAACAAATCCAGGAAAATCCCACAGTTTAAATATTGTTGTAGAAAGATGGACAGAAAGATGGAAGTAATGATAAAGTGTACCTCTTAAATCTATCTTAACTGAATATTTTTGGAGTCCTCTTAAGTTTCACACATGCTTCAGTCTTGTTTCTATCCCCCTCGGTTACTTTATGGCATGAAATATTATAAGTTACGGTCTGAGAACATCCAGTCTCTTCATTAAGTCTCTTCCTGGTCCAAAATGCTGCAGCTCGTGGACTGACTAGAACTAGAAAAAGAGATAGCATCATTCCTGTATTGGCTTCTCTGCAGTGGCTCCCATAAAACCTAGAATATAATTTAAAATCCTTCTTCTCACTTACAAAGCTCTTGGAAAAATGTGTTCCATTTTATACATAAATATAGCAGAAATCCAGTATATCCTTTGTAAAGAACAGACCAGCCTTCCCTCAGCATGCAGTATTTATGTGTTAACATGCTTACAAAACTGGGAGTTGCATTTTCTTCTTCCAGTGTAACCATTTTAGGAAATCATTGTATTTGCGGTTGATTGATGAGGATCTGATATACAAAGCACCATTGAGCAATTGAGCCAATTATGGTTATTCATTTATTTTATTTAACAAGGAAGAAAAATGAACCACTTTGTGTAAATAGTCCTTCCAGTTTGGTTTTTGAGTTTCTTCCAGTGTCCGAAGCATGCTTAACAACGTTCTGTTAAAACGTTCAGATGGGTTAGACTGAGGATGATATTGTGTTGTTCGTGAATGTTGTATCCCACTGTAGCTTTCCAGTTTTTTGAACAACTCATTTTCAAACTCCCTATCCTGATCATGATGAATCTTGGCTGGGAAGCCGAACCTGAGAATGAAGTCATCAAAGATCTTGCGTGCTGCTGTTTTGCCAGACTTATTTGGTGTTGCATAAGCCTGTGCAAACTTTGTAAAGTGGTCTACTATTACTAATATGTATTCCACTCCACCCTTGCTTCTCTCCAGATGAAGGTAATCAATGGAGATCATTTCAAAAGGTGCTGCTGTTGTTATGCTCTGCAGTGGTGTCCTTGTTTTTCTGCTTGTTTTTGTTTTGTTTCAGGCAAGGCACATTTTTGTTACATAATGTTCAATTTCCTCTCTCATCTTTGGCCAAAAAAATCTCTCTCTGGCAAAAGAGATCATCCTGTCTGCACCCAAATGTCCCATTTGCTCATGTAGCTGCTGATAGATGAGTGACTTGAGCTTTTCAGGAACCACCAATAGAGTTCGAAAAATGGTCTTTGGCTGCAGGATTCCATTTTTATCCAGATAAAGACGAGGCCACTCCTTCAGAAGGCTTTTCACTGCCACTGACTCTTTGATCTTGTCTTTGTATCTCAAACATTCATTCTGTTGTTTTTAGAGTGATTACTCTATTTATCCCTGCATCCTCTCTCTGACCTGACTAAATACTTTCAGCTGGTATTGGTTGGACTGTGGTCTCACATAGAGTGGTCTGTTGAGTTAAGACATCTACCTTGCAAGTAATGGCTGAAATCCAGTCAGTGTCACCTTCTTACTGAGCTTGCAGTCCTTCTTCAACTGCTGTTATGTCATCTGGTTTACACTCCTCTGTACATTCTGACATGTACAGAGGAGTTTTTTGCAGGTTGACGAGATAGGAAGTCTGCATCACGATTAACAGTTCCAGGCCTGTATTTCAGACTGAAGCAGAAATCTGTTAATTCTGACACCCAACGATGCCCCACAGCATTCAGTTTTGCAGTCTTCATTACATACGTCATAGGGTTATTGTCACTGTAGACTGTGAAATGAAGGGCGTGGAAGAGGTAATCAGTCACAGCCCACTTAAGAGCTAAGAATTCCAGCTTTCCAGAGTGGAATCTGTAATTCTTTTCTGTTGGAGTGTTTGTGATCCATATCCTATCACTCTCCGGCCTCCTTCTTGACGCTGGTTCAAGACAGCACCTAAACCATCTTCAGATGCATCTACATGTAACACAAGTGGCTTCTCAAGATCGGGATATGCCAATGTGTCAACAAGCTTTTCCAACACTTGCTGATGTGTTTTTGTCCACTCCACTGGCTGGGATGGAGGTAGCTGTGGAGAACTGCAGCCTCGACCCTTCTTTGTTTGTTTTTTTTTCAGTCTTGGGGTGGGACAGTAAGTCATAAAGAGGCTTGGCGATTCTTGAAAAATCAGCAACAAAGGATCTGTCATAGCCGAGGAAACTAACCAGGGATCTTACCTTTCTGACTGTTTGGTCTTGTTTTTTTCAGTGCTTGAACAGCTTCCACCTCTCTCGGGTTCATCCGATATCCTTCCTCTGAGACGACACGTCCAACATAGCACACTTCTCTTTTAAACAAGTCACATTTTTTTGGGTCTGAGCTTGATTCCACAGCTCTTCTGCCTCTGTAGCACCTTTCTTACATTCTCAACGTGGAGGTCAAAGTCTTTGCTAAATACTAGAATGTCATCAAGGTAGGGTACACATACCTCATCTCTCAGATCTCCAAGGCAA